ACCAAAACTCGATATGACCCGACCTGAAACCAACCCGAGACTTGAGTTAACCTTATGATTCGTGACCCGAACCCGAACATGACCCGACTTGAGATGACCCGATACTCGAACATACCCCGTTAATTATTGATCTGAACCGAACCCGACCCAAACCCGAGATTGACCCAAACCCGTTTTAACCCGTTGAAACCCGAAATCAACTTGACCTGTTACTAACCCGACCCGAATTCAACCCGACCTATTTTTAACCCGATCGGAACCTGATGTAACCAACTCGAATAGTAATGCAATTAACTCAAATTGACCCGAACCGAGCTAACTCGACCTAAACACTTAAATTGACAAATCTACCTTTAACATTTGCTTACACATTAATTCCTTAAATCAACTTTCCCACGCCACACACATATCTTAATCCTTATACTCTTATCTAATATAGTTAGTAATCTAGTTTAGCACAGTAATGCTTTAAAATGTTTCCCTCAATGAAGCTAGTTAATTGAGAAGGATTATAATCCGAATATGAACTTATCTGAAATTATTTCTTTAACAATAAATGAAGAAATTAATAATGATTAAACGTGAACATCAATACATGAATGATTAACAAACCGACCCGAAAAATGTACTCGAACTCGATATGACTCGACCTGAAATCAACCCGAGACTCGAATTAACCCAATATTTGAGACTCGAACGTGACCCGGCCTAGAAATGACCCGACCTGATTATAACTCGCAAATTACTAACTTGAACCGAACCCGACTCGAACTCGAGAATGACCCTAACTCGTTTTAACCTGTTAAAACCCTAATTAAACCCGACCTATTATTCACCCAACCCGAATGTAACCCGACTCGTTATTGACCCGACTTAAACTCGACCCAAACCCAATAAGATGTATGACCCGACGTGACCTGACTCGAGTATGCTCCAACCCAAACCCGACCCGCATAGGTTACGACATTAACCCGAATTGACCCCACCCGAGCTGACCCGACCTACAATAACCCGACCTATTTACTCGAATTGACAACTCTAGTCCTTACTGACAACAGGTACCCCCTCTCCTTTTTTTTTATTTATTTATTTTTTTTATTCTGTTTTATGTTTTTATTCTGCTTTTCTAATTTTTTTTTTTTAAAGTTAGTTGAGTCATTAAGGCAGATAAATGCTCGTAGGAAAGAGAAATGTTGGTGGGGTATATGGTAAAAAGTAGGAGAAAGAATGGTGGAGATTATTTTTTTTTTTTTGGGAAATTATTATTGGTACACCTCAAGTTTGGGCTTTTATCAATGATACACCTGCTTTAGTTTTAATTATCAGCGATACATTTATACTTTCAACTAATTAACTACAATAAACATTCCGTTAATTAAATGTTAGTAATAGGTTAATGACTGCTATGTTGACCAGTTTTAACTCCCTCCTTTATTTACCCTCCTATGTTTAAAGTAACTCACCCACCTCTATCATTATATAAACGAATCACCCTCATTTGCTTTGATTTATGCAACATCTTCTTCTTCATTTGGCTTTTTTTTTTTTTTTTTTTTTTTAAATTTTATTTCTTCTCTATTTTTCTATTATATACTATACTATGATTAACATTGATGTCGGTAAAGATACCAAATTTAGGCAAGGTTTTGGTAGTTAGATAAATTATTATATAACTAAATTTTGAATTTGTTTTCCTATAGTTCTATGTTTTGGAGTGAGATGTTGGAATGGCATAACTTATTTGGAGTACAGATATAGATTATAGCTTTGGTTTGGGTGGCGAATATCCAAAGTTTGTGGGTGGACCGTGAATATCTACTGAACTATCTCGACCTCTCGGGTCATGGGAGAGGATGAATAGATGGGAATTTATTACGGGTGCAGTGGTGCACTTACATGCTATGGGTTATTGCTATCTTATTTCAGACTCTTGGAACCTCTGTCTAAGATAGAATGGGATTTTGAATGTAGCTATATGCTTGACTTGTCATACTGAATGTCTAATGTCACTACACATGGGTCTCACTAGAGCTGTCTTTCATATGTGTGGTAGAGATCAAGGTGAAACCCTTCGACTCAATTATCTACCCACACATTTACACACAAAAAATATAGAGGCCATACTATTTTATTTCATAGTTTGATGTGGAAGAGATATATTGATCGCTTGTATTGATATATCTGATGGTAAGCAAAATAGAGTGAATAAAAAAGACACAAATGAAGAAGAAGCTGCATAAATCAGAGCAAATGAGGGGCTTCGTTTATATAATGTCAGAGGCGGATGAATTACTTTAAGTATAGGAGGGAAATTAAGGAGGGAAAAAAAAGAAGGGAGTTAAAATTGGTCAAAATTGCAAGTCATTAACCTATTACTAACGTTTAATTAACAGAAAGCTTACTGTAGTTGATTAGTTGAAAGTACATGTGTACTGCTGATAATTAAAACTTAAACAGGTGTATCATTGATAAAAGCCCAAACCTGAGGTGTACCAATAATAATTTTTTTTTTATTTTTTTTTTACCATTGGTAGGGAATAATTATGTTTATAACCAACAAAATGCCCTTGAAAAGAAAGAGTGAGAGAGTGGTTAGAGGAAGATTGGGCAACCAAAATATTGCCCCTAGCGAGAATGCTTTAATGGAAATTTATTTCAAATTGGGGTCGCTACTAGGGATGTCAGTGGGGCGGGTCTAGTAGGAGACCCGCCCCATCCCCACCCCGATGGGGCAGGGATGGGTCTAGCTTTGGCGGGTCGCGGGGCGGGGATGGGTCTAAAATCCATACCCGCCATGGGTGATGGGGCGGGGGTGGATTTAAAGTAATACCCGCCCCATCCCCGCCCCGCCCCGCCTGACCCACCCCATACCCGCCCCGCCCCGCCCCGCCTGACCAACCCCACACCTGACCCATACCCGCATTATACCCGACCCGTCCCATATAATGCAATAACATATTTCGTTAAATATTATACAGCAAAAAAAAATGTTACTGACTTGATTAAGGAAGTCTCTAGACACTAGACTTCTAGAAGAAAAAAAAAAAAAAAACCATATTCATTTTCATTCTCAACCCTAGCCGACACTATCACTCATTCACTCTCCTCTCCTCTCCTCTCCTCTCAAGCTCTATCAATCAGACAATCACCACCTCTGAATCTCGCCGCTGAGTTGTGCGCTGATCAACACTCCGATCTACATAATCCCTACCTCTTCCTATATAATCGGTACTATCTCAATCTCTCTTACTCGTTTTTTTTATTTATTTTAATTTCCCAATTATTTTTTCCCCAATTATTGATGAAAAAGAATTTGACAAATCAACTAAGAAATTGATTAGCCATAATTCTGTCCTAGATTCTAACTAATCTATTTCTGAATGTTTAATTTGACTCTAATTCGTCTGATACTTTGAATTGTTTGGTGTTATGATTTATGAGTTACTACAAATTTTAGTTTATAGGATATACATGTTGCTAATTTGCTACTCCGAGTATAATGTAATTACTTGTACTTTTGAGTTGCATGATATTGATATTAGTTTAGAAAATGTTTTGATAATTTCATTTAATTTGAAGTTCTGGACAGAGGGCATACTTTTATTTTTATTACCCTTGTTCTGGTCTCTTTAATTGTGGGTGGTTATAAATCTTATTTAATTAATAATATTATTATTATTTTTTTTAATTAAGTCACATTGAATTTTCAGATTGTAGAGAATACAAGGATGATGAATATGCTAAATTGGTGGGAGAATTAGTGGAAGAATTTGAAACATGAGATATCGATTCCAGTACAAGTGAAGTTTGCACTACACAGAATAATTGAAGGCTTAGAGTTATTATTATGTATTTTTAATATTTGGACTTTAGACAATTTAGAGTTACATTTATTTGTTTAGAGTGTATTATATTAGTTACTGTGTTTTTTTTTTAATTATGTTAAGTATGTACTGCTAATTTTTTTTATTTTTTATTTGAGCTGTTAACTGTAGGCCTGTAGACTGTAGTACATATTTTTTTATTTTTTTTATAATGGTTTAAATATGTTATTTGTGGTGGATTTAAGGTGGGGAGTTGGCGGGTACGGGGCGGGGATTACGTGGGGTTGAGACGGGGATGGATATCCACGTGGTGATGGGGCGGGGGTGGTTTTGGAGTTGGACCCGCCGGGGCGGGGATGGGGATAATTTTCAGACCCGCCGTGGGGATGGGGACGGGGATGGGGATGGAAATGTGAGGCGGGGATGGGGATGGGAATGCAAAAACCCGCCCCGCCCCGCCCCGTTGACATCCCTAGTCGCTACGTCCTACTAAAAATCCATCATCGAACGACTCTATAAAAACCGGCCCTATTACTCCGTGCTTAATAAACGGACCGATCCATTCATAAGTGGGGCGGGTCAGGGCTTTTAACGGGCTCTAAACCCATTGCATTCAATTGCTCTAATTATTTCAATAAGGAAAAAGAAACCGAACGATTTCCTTAAATATTGCTGAAATCAAAATTAATTCCTACTTTGCATTGTTTTAAAAATCTATTCCCTGAATGGTGTCCATGTAGGATTGGATATTAGCTTTGTTTTTTTTTTTGGTTATGAGTAGAACCGCAATTAATATAGCGGTTTTACATGTATTTTGAACCAATATTGCTAATTTGGTATTGGCGTTTCTTTTTGCAAGTTTGTTAGCCATCCCACCGATAATCTGATATAATCTCACCATTTACACTGCAAGTTTTTTTAACAGCCCTACAGCAAAAAATTACAAAGAAAAACAGGAAGAACAAAAAAGTACATGAAATTGGAGTTCTTGAGGTTGAATGCTGAGGTATTCCCTTAAATTCATAATGGTGTGAAATTAACCAGAAAATAAAAACAAAATTACAATTAAAAGTTGGGTTTAGAGAGAGGAAGAACCTAACAGAGAAGATCAAAGAAAACTTGATGTTTACATAATGAAAGTAGAGGAGAGAGAAAATAGGAAGATAGAGATTTTTTTTTTTTTTTTTTTTTGTATAGGGCCCAATTTTAAGTTTTATCACCATTATAATCGTAGCTATTTCCAATCACTATTCAGGGAATAAATTTTTTAAACGACCCAAATTAGGAATTAATTTTGATTTAAACAATTTCTAGGGAAATCGTTCAAAGAAACCTCCTCCTGTTCCCTCTCTCAGTTCTCCATTGAAGCGCACTCAACATTCTCCACTGAAGCGCACTTCACGTTTTCAGCAGCTTCTAAGGTAAGTTTGTTTCTTTTTGTAATCATCATATCAATTTCACAATTTAGGGTTCATCTTTCATCCAATTTGATTTTATTAAATTGTCAGTGCAATAAGTTTAGGGTTCGAAAATCTTAACTATTGGTTCTAATTACTAAGATTATGAAAGGTCATAACCAGCAATTATGTTGTTAGAAAAGAAAATTATGAGCCTAATTTGATAATTGGATCAAATATCCCTAAAATTATGATCCTAATTTGATATTTGAATCAAATTTGGTTGCTAATGTACTGAAGAACCTTCAATGTTAGAATTGAACTATGAAATTAGACCTCTTCTCCCTGGCTCAGGGACGGGCCTGTTTGCTTAATCATGGGCTTCAATTCTGATGCAGACAACGAGGTTTCACAATGTCTGAAGCAAAAGATAATGAAATTGGCGATATCGATTTCGCTTGGGGTATAAAGAGAGGGCGTGGTGGCCAAAAGAAGGAGGTGCAGTTCTATGACTCTTTTACGTACGGTGGTGTGGAATACTTTCTCTACGATTCCGTATATTTGTTTAAAGAAGGTGAAGGCAAACCTTATATCGGTAAGCTTATCAAAATTTGGGAACATACAACTACTAATGCAAGAAAGGTTAAAGTACTTTGGTTTTTCTATCCTTGGGAAATATCAAATTATCTGAACGGTGAGAATGTGTTGGAAAATGAGCTATTTCTAGCGAGTGGTGTTGGCAAAGGCTTGGCAAATATTAATCCCTTGGTAATATTATCGAGACTCTTCTCATACCTTTTACTTTATTTTCAAAGATTCTATTTGTTATATGTTCGTAGTTTTTGAATTGAAGTTTGTCGAAGATCATGTTTGTGAACAATTGGAGATCTCTAATGTGGTATATGGGGCTTCAAAAGGGACTAGTGTAAGTAGAAAGTCATATTTAGGGATTATATATTGTAATTTTTTTTTACGCTGCCAATGAGGAGGGTTACGGTACGCCAGTCACATCGCTTGGCATGACCCACAATGTTGGTTCATGTAGCTGACCCCATTAATGGGATTAACGCGTTCAAGTAGAAAAAGAAGAAATATTGTAATTTTTTTCACAAAATAACCATTTTTTTAATTCTCCTTTGTTTCTTGTTGTTCCTCTCACAATTTGGTTTTTTTTTGTTCAACCTATTTTTGAATATTATTTATTATTATTTTTGGCAATTTTCTTTCTCTGTCTTACCCCACCCCCACCCTCACTGTATTATTAGACCTACTAAAACCCATAATTTATAGTTTTATACCTTAGTCTTCCTTTCATCTCTAAAAAATGTAAATGCCTAGGTCTTTTGCCCTTGCCCTTTGTATTCCCTCTTACTCGAGCCATTGAAAATGGGTAGGACATTGAGAACTAGAGGGACTTCAAAAAGATTTTTTTTATAGTTACTTTCACTTTAGTTGATTCATCCAATTCTCTGGTTTGTGATTCCCTAAATTCCTCATTTCCTTTAAAACCAATCACCTTGCCTTTTCCTTTAGATCACTTCCACTATTACCACTAGTTTAGTTCCCTTACAAACCATCACAAACTCTTGCTTTAATGATTTAACCACCACAAACTCACCCTTGCCAGCAATTTTTTCTATTATATTCTTAATTTTTTTTTTTAAAAATTTTTTTTTTCACCTTTGTTTGTTTTGTCCTACTCACTTTTACTTTATTTAACTTTTAGCAAACCCTTTTTATTAACTTGCCCCTCGTGGCCCACAATATTTACACTTTTTACACAATCTCTTTGTACTTTATTACTTTTCTCTTACACCCACACCTTTTTGTTACTCCTTTCTTACTTTATCCAGTTTTTTTTTTTTTTTTTTTTCCTCACACTCTCATCTTGTAAAAACTTTTTTTATTTTTTATTTTTTAAAATTTACTATCTACAATAATTAAGCTAAAAAAAATGTGAAGGTGGTAGTAATAATTTTTAAGGGAAAAAAATTGCATTAGGAAACCCTTATCATGAGTTGAAACTACATAAAAAACAAAAAAGAAGTGTGTGCTAGTACTAACATCTATGTACATATGGCCTACATTATTACTCCACTATACTCCACTATGTTCTTCAATTTTTCTTCTTATTTTTTTTTTATCTACGAAGTATAAAATTACTAATTTTCTACTTTTCAAATTTATACAGAAGTCGATCATTGATGTGGGTCATTTTTCATGAGATTGCCGATTTTGTTTAACCATGTTTATTATGAGCTACCTAATCCTATTGATATCTATGAATAGGTTTTAATTAGGGATGTCAACAAGGCGGGACGGATTTTGGCTTTCCCATCCCCATCCCCGCCAAACATTTTCATCCCCATCCCCATCCCCGCCTAACATTTTCATCTCCATCCCTATCCCAACCCCGCGACAGTCCAAAACTCATCCCCATCCCCGCCCCGATGGGTACAATTCCAAAATCATCTTCGCCTCACCTCCCACTTGGATATCCGCCCCCACCCAATCCCCACCCAAGATCCGCTTAATCCTCGCCTCCCAAATACATCACTACATAATATAGATTACAATAAAAAAAAAAAAATTCGTTGATATTACAAGTTTTTAATTTTTTTTTTTTTTTTTTTTTTTAAAATATAAGTATATTACAATGTATTATATTTACTACTTTGTTTTACACAATTTTTTTTTTATAAAATAGTATAAAAATATACAATTTTTTTTCAAAATATATATAAATGTGGGTATAGGGTGGGGATGGGGCGGGTACGAAGCGGGGCGGAAGGGGCGGAGTGGGTACAACCTAAAATCCATCTCCGTCCCGTCATCCATGGCGGGTATGGTTTTTATCTCCATCCCCGCCCTACCACCCGCCAAATCGGGACCCATCCCTGCCCTATTGGGGCGGGTCTCCTACTTGACCCGCCCACTGACATCCCTAGTTTTAATGCCTCTTTCCAAAGCTAGTTGGATACCATATGATCCATGGCTTCAATGGTTCAAGCTTATGATTAAAATTGCCTTGGTGTTGTCTCACCCTCAAGGAAGCTAAATTAGTTTTTTTTTTTCCAAAGCAAGTCCCATGATAGAAAAGATATTTGATTCCTTTTAAACTAATTGCACCACAAAATTGTCATTGAAGTAGCATGCCATAAATATTTGTTCTTTGTCCCAATTGCTCTAGTACTCTTGAATTCCCATGTACACCTTACAAAATTTAGTAAGAAATGCAACCTAGACACATCCCAAAAATAAATGTGATAGTGAATTCATTTTTTCCATTATTGATAATTATGACATGAAAGCTATTACCTTGAAAGAACAAGTTCTTTCCAAATATAAAATTGGCTTTAGTACAAGGGGAGGTTATCTAGTATCATGTTCACATGGTGAAGCAACTCACCTAAGTCTTGCATGGGGGAATCACTAGCCTTTGATAAATGAAAATCTAGGTGATGCTTCTTACTTTCATTTAGGTGATGCTTAAGTTTTTTGTGCATTTTATGATGTCTTTGGAGTGTTACCTTTTTTTTTTTTTCCCGAAAAAATTGTGTTCCAATATATATAGGTTGGTAATGTTGGAATTTGGTATTTTATATGTCCTCCACAAAGTAAGGTTGCCAATAATGATGATGTTATCGGTTACAAAATGGCGCTTGACATAGTTGTAAAAAGTACGAAGGTGAGTCTCAATGAGATAACAAATCACTTTAGAGTGCCTAGGTGCAATGATCTACAACAAGGGCGCTGATAGGTTTGCCGCAAGGCTACTTTTGGTGAGCCGTAAAGTGCCTGATGGCCTTTTAGATTGGTTTTATGGTTGACGCAAGCTTGGTTGCTTTAATCAAGAAGAGAGGGAAATTTTAATATGAGAAAAGGCTAATTTGTGGATTTGACTTCCCTGTGCTTTAACCCCAACCGCACCCGTGTATAAGTTCTTACCTAATTATAAAGAAAAAAGATAGGTGGCACCCCTTTTCTTGTCTATTGATAGTAACTAGTAAGCTTGGTGAATAGGTGATGTCCCTCTATTTCCCTTTTAAGGAATTAATGTGACAACCCTCATAAAAATCACAATAAGCACCTTCCACCCCCCCTTCCTCTTTTTTGGTACTCTCTCTTAAACTTGACGTAGCTAAGTAACAGGACATGCTCCTACCCCATCCACACCTCTCTATAAGTTCTTACCAGATTATAGTTACCTAATTATAAAGCTCCTCTTTCCTTATTTTTGTGATAGGTGATGCCTCTAGGAATTAATGTGACAATTATGAATATGTGACACCTCCCATTCTCTCACTCTCTCCCCCCCCTTTGTTTGTTCTTTTGGTTTAAGGACTCAACATGACATAGATGTGTAGCGTGAAAGCCCCGCCTTACTTTACCTAAATTTAGAGGAGAGAGAGAATTTGCACCCCTTTTCATATGTTGTGTCTCTAGGTGAATACGTCATGTCCCCTAATTGACCCCCACAATTAGTGTGTAATATTGACAACCATGACTAATGACACATCTCTTTGATCTTTCTTTTGTTTTAAACTCTCAAAATCGAGTTCTCATAATTATCACTTCACTATTAGGCTATGTTTTCTTCACCTCAAATTTTTAAGGTGTGGTTGGTTTATTGGACTTGATTTGAAGTTGTACGCTTATTTATGAGAAAAAAAAAATCAATTGGGGTCTTGACAGATCCGTCATAATGTTAATTAGTATTTATGAAAACGAAAATTTAGATATATGCCAATAGCCCCCTTACCCCCACCCCTATGCACACATATTTATTTATTTATTATGTTAATTTTTTTTCCCTTCCTAACTTATGCTTTCCATAATAGTGGTTTTATTTATTAATCATTTATGATTGTGGCCTGTTTTTGGAAAGTAGAAGTTATGTTGAATTTGTTTATAAGAATCTTTGGAAACAAGTGTGTATCTCCTACCAGAGGTGTGTGGCTTTTCCTTGGATCCATGCTCCATGGACCTTGTGCCTTTGGCATGCCTTCTAAAACTAAAGCACTTGGCTCGAGTAATGGTGATGTCTATCTCTAAGGATGATGGAAAGATGAGAGGTTGATGCCTTTTAATTCGATCTTGGTTTTTTTTATTTTTTTCTTCTTTCGGTGGATAAGCAATTGTTCTTTGTAGAGAATGATGGGGAGGTTGGGAGATTAATGGGTCGAACTCTAGATGATAGCATGCTTCTGGAGTAATTGTGGCTTTTGCGCACCGAAAGACGCGTGGAGGACTTTGTACAAATCCTACTGGAGATGATGATAAATGTATTTCTTAATGAGAATTGTACACAACCTTAAATGCAATGACATTTATTTACCACTCGCATGTAACATTTGGTAGTATGGTTTGGCTAGATTCAAATGTCAAGTTGAAGTTTGAAGTTGGATTGTGCTTGTGATTGGATTTTGAGATTAGTCGATCACATTTTGATTTAAGGGGGTTGGGCTAACTAAGTTCTTGATGGATTCTCTCAATTTCTCGCTCATTTTCAAAGGAAATCTTCTTTAATATTCATTTTTCATTTTACAAAGAGGTTTTGAGAGCCTTACATTTTGGGCGGGCAATTCTTGGCTCAGCCCGACTTGAAGTCAACCCGTATGCAATGAACCTAAACAACTCCCATTTATCATTTTTTTTTACGACTTGAAATCAAATCGAAATCTAGCTGTTGATTAAAATTACCACTCCTAATTGCTGGTCACCTTTCCTTAGTAATTTTCTTCATGTACAATGAAGAGTAAATTGTAGAAAATTATTCCATCCATTTCAAAATGATCTTCTCACTTGGAATCTTTTGTGTAAATTAAGGTAAAGGAAGAATCTTGAAATAAAGTACATTTAGAACAATTCAAATACAATAGGACCATCCTTTTTTTTTTTGAATAAAGTACATAAAGACCACTTATTATTTTGGAATAAAGTACATTAAGATCATTTTTTTTTTTTTTTTTTTTTTTGGGATTGAGAACATTAAAATGAGGGTAATATGGGAAAATAATGAGGATAAGTGAGGAATTTAAATTGAAATTGACAAGATCATTTTGAAACACACAAATTAGAAAGTGAGAAAATCATTTTGAAACGAAGGGAGTACTAGTTACTATTCTGACCCGTTAGTCAAGGTTATAAGTGCCCTTTTTAAGACTTTTTTATCAATAGGGAGTCAAAATTTAGTTTTCGAGGGATATTCATTATTCTTGATTTCGTTCCTTTTTTCAAGCACATGATATTTTTGTCCTTTGTATTGGTGACATCCTCTTGGTGTTACTCTTATATCTCTTTACTACATATCAAAAACAAAATTTTTTCTTGCTCGATGCCGCTGTACTTTTTGTCTCACTTCAACTTTAGTAAGGTGGGAAATTTCTTATTTCTTTCTTGCTCGATGGCGCCTTGTTGATAAGGTGGAAAATTTATTCTATTTCATCTTTAACGTATACTCCCTTCATTTCATTACGTAAATTTAAAAAAGGGTTATTCTTGGAATAAAGTACATTAGGACCATTAAAATACATTGGGACCATCCTTTTTGTTTTGGAATAAAATACGGTGGGGCCAGTGCATTAGGACCATTTTTTTTTTTTTTTTAATTGGGATCATTAAAGTTTAACATAGCTATGTTACTTGGACTCTTCATTTCACCTCAAGTACCTGGACCCTCGACACTCGGACATCGGATATGTGTAGGACACTTAAACACTTCATTTTAGTTCAAAATCATGGAAATTTTTCATAAAATAGCCGAGTCAGATACTTAGATATGTACGCGTGTCGGACATGGGTACCCCAGTTCAAGTAACATAGTTGCATGGGGACCATTAAAATGAGGGTAATATGGGAAAATAAGGAGGTCATGTGAGGGATCTAAATAGAGAGTGAGACTTTCTTTTTGAAACGCCCGAAGCAGAAAGTGGGACTAAAATTTTGGAACAGAAGGAGTATTATTTTTCCAAGGTGGAAAACTACATGAGGGGAATGTTTGCCTTCTTTTGCCATTTTATTTTGTGTGAACTCAACTTTAATGGTTGGGTTTTACCTAATTCAAGATCAAACGATAAATTTCTATTCTTTGGATTTCATTATGTTCCAGTTCTTGCGTTGCGGTTTAAGGGAAAGCCAATGCAATCTAAGCACGCGAGGCGTGTGATGCTTGAATATTACGCTTTTTTGGCCCTAAGTCGATCCTTTGGATGTGCTTAAATTAAATGCATATTCTCCGGGATCCCATTAAGTATTAAGATCACATGTTAAACTTGGTTGGCCACTTTCAATTGGTCGTAGATGCTGATTTTGCTCTTGTCAATTCAGGAAGCAATTGCTGGGAAGTGCAATGTTGTTTGCATTTCAAAAGACGAGAGAAATCGGCAACCCTCAGCTCAAGAACTTAAGATGGCGCACCATGTATTTTATCGCACATTTGATGTCCAAAATCATACTGTTTCGGATACACTGGGTGAAACAATAGCCATGACTGAGGGTGTGTTCTTGTGCCTAACAGATTTTTTTTTTCTCCATCTTGTGAGAAATTCTATGTTTCTTGACACTTTTTCTGTTGCTTGTCTGTCACAGTCAATTTGTTATTAAACAAAAATGATTTCCAGTCCCTTGATCTTTGTGTGGTAGATAGTGGGAATACCGCTGTGTGTTTAGAGGAATCATTGATTTCTTATAAATATATTCTTGGGGCTGATGGTACTATGGAGCGTGATGCCAGTATAGGCTCTCTATTGCTGAAAGATAAACAAGAGGCAAAAAGTTCTTTGGATAAGTCAAAACGTCATCATGTAAGAAACACTGATGTTGATGAACCTGATAATTCCGATTTAGTGGCAGGAAGGGAGAAAATGCTGGTCAATAAAGATCCTAAAGGAGTAGATGAGGATGAAAATTACGATGATAAAGGTTTGAAAGGAGATGGCAATGCTGATGTACCTGATGGTCTTGGTCTAGTGGTTTTACCTGTTACTGAAGCAGCCTCTGCTTCTAGTGGGCAAAAAAGATCAAGAGCACCTGATTCCAAGAAAAATGACGTGAATGAGAAAGGTGTGGTTCCACCTGTTGCTGCTGCTGACAACAAAAAATCAAAACTAGTGAAGGACAATCACCAGGCTATTGTTGCTGGTGCAAAAGTGAAGTCTGATCACTCTGATGACAAGCCATTCAAAAAAATCAAAATTATTGGCACTGATCTGCTATCAAGTGCCAATGGTGGGACTAGCACTCCAAAATCTGCCACTGTTGTGAGCAATAAGGGTTCTCAATCTGCTGTTGGTGTTGGTATAGATTCTAATAAGAGAGGCAGGCTGATCAAAGAATCCAATGTTATAAGCATTGGCCTTTCTAAAAAGCTTAAGTCAGAAGACAAATCTGATGACAAGCTGCTTGACGTATCTGCCAAACAATCCCAAGATAAGGAGGGGTCTGCTGCCCTTTACATTTCAGCTAATAAGGCTTCACAATCTTTTAATGGCGATGCTGAAACTGATGATAAAGGCAAATTTAGTAGGAAAATAGCTGGTACAAGTAATGGCCTTTCAAAAAAGCTAAAGTCCAATAGCATGGTAGGGGATAAATCCAATGATAATTTGCGTAAAGCACTCATTAAGAATCCCAAAGATGAGGAAGCTTATGGTTGTGTTAAGCAAGTCACTCAACGACCACCTGTAAGTTTTGTTGGTTCTCTCGTGCGTAGAATATTTTTACTTCTCTTATCTTGGCATCATTATCTATAATTGTTTTTCTTTTTCTTTGTCCATTCCATATCCAAAAATCAACGTAATTCTTCTATGTTCATTTTCCTTGCATGCTTTAGTAAGATTTACTCTTTATTTGTTGAACCTCTGTGCTCTTGAGCATGAGCCCGAACGTATGGATATTTATCAAGTGATGATTGTAGCTTAATTTGTATCTCAAAAATTATATCATCTAGCATAATTGCAAAAATATGATTTTAAGGTTTCTAAACGTGCTTCATTTGTTACATGTATGTATCCTAGAGTATTAAGTCTTAAAGATGGCAAAAAAGTGTCATTGAGCTATATTTTTACTTACTTCGTCAAACAACATGACCCCTTACCCACTAACAATATAATTTGGCATCACTTTGCTTACTACTAAAATGTGCTTCACTACCAACTATCACATTATAAGATATTTAAATCAACTATCTTATTTAAAATGTTGTTGATCAAAGTGAGTGCTACTAATTCTGGGAGCAAGTAAGGCTAGGGTAGGCAAACCCATTTTTATTTACTCCCTCCGTTTTTTTAAGTGCCCCATACCCTTGGGCACATAGTTTTAGGCAAAATAATAAAATAATATATGAGTGGGTATAGTTAGGAATAAATTTTTTGGAAATTTAAGAGAGAGAAATATAAATGGGGATCACTAGAAATAATGTGAGATCGAGAAAATATTATAAAATAATAGTGGGGTTAAAAGGAAGAGAGAAATATTGTATAATGTGAGTGGTGTTTCCACTTTTGGTAGTGGGACACTTAAAAAAACGACTATTTTTGAGAAGTGGGGCACTTAAAAAAAAAAGAGGGAGTAGAAAAAAGGATTAGACTAAAGCACAATTATTATGAGTAAGATAATAAAATAAAAATTGTCTCGTTAACCCAAAGAGAATCCAATGTTTTAAATACCTGGTTATGGTCAACCTTAAAGCATACATTCTAGACTCATTGAGTCAAACCACATGAATAGAACAGAGAGAGAAATCAAAATAGATAGTGAGATTGATCTTAATATGTAAAATGTGTACCTTTGAACCCTAAATATGTTTAATTAGCCCAAAAGTGCTTAGTTGTTTGATACGCATGTTCTAATACATAGTGCCATTTTCCTTGGTCTAGGTGACATAGGTTCTATTTGGAAAGGTAGTCATAATGAGAATGAAGGAATAGAATGGGGAGGAATAGTATAATGAGAGTGAAAGAATAGAATAATGAGGAATAGTATAATGAGAATAGAGGTAACTTAATATTCCTTTACCCCTCTTAAACTTCGATTTAGGTTGTCTGCTCCAATCCTCAATAATTTAGTCTAGTATGCCACCTAATTTTTCCAAATTAACATACTATAAACCTTTGGGCTTTTGTATATTTGAGTAGAATGGTGTTGATAGGGGTATTAACGAGTCGACAAGAGTCGACAGCTCCTCGATACTTGGCTTGGTCAAAGTTTGACTTAGCGACGAGTTTGGTATCGGCTTGAGATCTTAACAAGCCAACTTTGGGCTTTTGTAATTTTGAGTAGAATGGTGTGGATAGGGGTGTTAATGAGGTGAGCCTGCAACTACTCGATTCTTGGCTTGGTCAAAACTCGTTTAAAGCTCGACTCGAGTTTGGGTTCAGCTCAAGACCTTAATAAGTGACTTGAATTTTTTTGTATCAATATCTATTTTTATAAAATAATTTATAACCTAAGATTATCTATTGACGACTAGGGATTTTTGTCATATATGAGGGCCTTATTTGAGTGAGTATGTTATCTATTAAAATAATTTATAAAAATAGGTAAATATGAGATCTCATGCTCATCTAGCTCAAGCCGAGCCGGAGCCGGAGCCCACCAATGTCGAGCTGAGCATGGGCTCGACTCGGCTCGTTAACACCCCTACGGTGTGGATTTGTTTTTGCCTTTTATGGCGAGCTCTGACATGGAAAACTGGCGCAACAGAGCTACAAAAACCCTATATCAAAATCAAGGCATCAAGATATGATGGTCGAAAATACAAGTTCGAGGATATTGGTCGTCCGAGTGATGTGATTTTGTGAATATGTTAGCTTACTAACAATGTGGGTTGCTCGCATGTTGTACAAGGAGTTGGATCTTCGGTTTGAGAGTTGTAGAGGAATTTATTTACTTTTATCGTCATCTCACTTTTTCCCTAAAGAAACACACTTTCCCAATTTCTGTCACCCTAGCGTAATTAAATAGAGAGTGCTACATTTTTGACATAAGAATGACCAATTGTTTGAAGTAATTATGACATAAAAGGTAGAAAATCTGTACGTTGAATACAATATATTATCTCATAGCATATTATGATCCCAAGATCCATACTAAATAATTATCAGCTAGTTTTTTTCAAAGACTTTTTTGTTCTGGTACCACAACCCTCAGGTTGAGCTCTTTGTTCTATCTGCAACGCTGCCCTATGATTCTCTATGAAGTTAAAACAATTATTATAAATTGTCTAAGATCTTAGGTGAGCCAGAAGTATGAAGCTGTGTGTGTGTGTTTTTTTTATTTTTTAATCTATGAGGTTTCAATGAGCACATCACATCGTTTGAGCTATGGCGCTTTGAGACACATCAGGTGTAATGTCCCACATTAGATGGTGAGCAACTTATAAGAGTTTAATGCTTCTACTTAAGCAGCAAACCTTTTTTCTTTAAGCTTAAGTGGTCTTTATGTGGGCCCATTAAAGGACTGCCTACCATTATGGGTCTTAGAGGTATAATCTTGGAATCTTGGATCATTACAATTAAGATATTTTTAATTTAGTAATTGTGTTTCAATTGATGATTCTTTGTTCATGATGACATTTTTGCTTTTTCTGTAAATCCTTATATTGATGCCCCAAGGTTTGGCTAAGTGTGCTGATGTTATCTTATGCGTCTTCTTATTTATACAGGACCGGAGTAAATGGTTCACAGCAAGTGTGAGTATTCTTCTTCAATCTTAATTTTGGCATTTTCTTAAAATTTTGTTTTGCTAATTTCCCTCGCTTTTTGAAAATATTTTGTATACTTGCACAACTATATTTAAACATTTTAAAATAAATAAAAGTATGTTTCCTTCGTGTCATATCAGTTGACACATTTCATTTAGACGCATTTGCCAATTCATAGCTTCAAATAATAATATCTTCAATTATATACAACAAAATATTAAAAAAATTGATATTTTGAAAATAGACGTTGAGACAGATCAGATTAGACCCCATTTGACTATGTTTTTTCTTAAGGATAAATCACAAAATGAAATCATAAGTAACTTATGTGAATAGTGGTGAAAGTGAAAAGTCAACAAATATGGAACAAAGAAATTGTCTGGTTACATGGAAGCGTCAATTAACTATGTATTATATAGGTGGAATATTCTTGAATTTAATAATGTGCATGGTAACTTGCTTTTGTGAACTAGTAAACTAAATAGAACGAACATAGATAAGGATATGGTCCTAGGTTGGGGGTGGGGGGGGGGGGGTTAGAAGAAAATGTGTTTGTTCTTTTAAATTAACATGAAGCGGTTTTTGATAGAATCATACCAGTTTTTTTTTTTGTTAATTTTTTTTTTTGGTTATATGTCTTTCTATATAGTTGTTACTTGTACGAGTGTTAAAATTTGGTAGCTTCTCTGTATGATCTGGAAATTATTGTTTGAGTATTAAATGTTAGAATTACTTCGCTTTTTATTTATTATTAGTATATAATAAATACTAATCCTATGGGCACTCTTTAAATGAGTTTATCTAAAGAAACTAGACTTGGTACATGTTTTTACTCTGTTCATTCTTTGCTGATTTTTTATTCTCTCTATACTGGGTGGCACTTGGTGGTAAATTTGTTTACCCCTAACCCTAAGTCAATGAAACTAGGGGTCACTTTTCAGCAAGATGTGGAGAGACAGTTTTTTTGTATAGAGGTTTTGAGTGGAAATGTAAAAATCCCCTAAAAATGAAAAAAAATAATAGTGGAAGTATCACTAGCAATGAATAAAAGAAGGTTCGGACCTGTAACAGGTCAAAAAGGGAAAGAATACAATAAGGAAAATTTGCTTACTAATAAGAATGATATCAGAAAGCTGAAAAGGCGCCATGTCTTTGTAATTGTCCAAATGAATAATATTGATTGAAGGAGAAACACTTATGGTCATTTGTTTTATGTGCATTGGTTGTAGGTAAAGAGGGGGTACCTTAAATGTTGGTGTAGAGATAAGGAATCCTATTTGTGAAAATTGATGAAGTAAAGAGAAGAAAAAGAAAAGAGAAATTCAAAAACTAAATTCTGATTGATCTTCTCCCTATTTGCTTTCTTGAGTGCATATGCATCATATGAGTATTATGATTTGAACGTACAGGCCCAGCCCACCAAAAGAAGAGACAGACAAGGTTACCATGCTATTGAAGAATAGTACATCCTCCAATCCATTTTGTTTGTTTCAAAACTAACTATTATAAACTTCAAATTATATCATGTAGGATCTTGTTAGATTCAATTTGAAATGATTTTCAAAATATCAAAATTTTATAATATTTAATCACATATAACTGTACACATTCGTGGTAAAAATGTTTATTGGAGACCGTAAATCAAAATGTAACAAATAAAAAGGAATGAGGGAATATGTCCTATATCCCTTAGAGTGTGTGTGTGTGTGTGGTGGGGAGGGAAGGGAGGTGGTAGTGGCCAGGCTATGGGGTGTTCACTCATGGGCCTGGATGGTCCTGTCCATTTCCAGTTCAAAGAAAAGTTTGATTCCGGGTTAAAACCGGTTCCTAGTTAGAAACTCGGTTTATTGTATATATTATGTATTTTATGGGAGGTGTCTAAGAGCATCCACATTCATTTACATCCCCTTAATTTATCTCTCCTCACCTCATTAGTCCACATCACTTTCCACCAACTTAATCACATATCTTTCCCATTTCACAATTTCATACCTACATTCATTAACCTCCCCATTTACCTTCTACCTCCTACTTTTCCATGCCCCACCACCTTTTCTCCCTCCTAACTTTTGTTAAGGGACCACTCCTTTTACTGATTTGTTTGGGATGATTCCTTCTTTATTTACCTCCTCAACTAAATTTATTATATGGGAAGGCAAAAACATTGGTGGGAAGGTTTTCTTTTCCATTTTTTCTAAAATGGAGAACCTTGACTCCCACTAATGTGGATGCTCTATCACTTTTACCTACATTGCTCTCACGATTCTCATGTGTGCCTTACTTTCCCTTATTTCTCTCTCCTTATTCCAAGACTCCTATTTCCTATCTTTTTCTCATTGCCTCCTTTCCCCTTTTTCTCTTATTTCTCTCTGCATTCTTTATTTCTCCTTTGACTTTTCATGTCCATACTACATCAATTCTCCCCTCTTTTGGAACTCAAAAATCGCTAATTAACAAAAACCTTAATTGATGTAATGTGTCTTGATTATTCTTAAATGTTGTATAACTTGTATTTGGACCAACTTCATCACAATTCGCTTGTAGCCACTCCAAAGGATCTTCGTTTTGCTTGAAAAAGCAACAATTTAACTCAATGCAGTTGTACATTGTACATTTAAACAAGGAAGTGATCTCGACAGAAACTCGAAGACCTCTACCAAATAGCATATTTGAACTTCTTGAGCATATTTGAAATCTCGTACATAGTAGATACTTGTATTTTTAAAAAGTTGTGATTAGTTTCTTCTTCCTTCTTCCTTCTTTTTTTTTTTTTTCCATTTATATTGAAATTTGGTGTGGTTTATTCTGTTTTAACTTTCCAGTCCAAGAAAATTTGAAACTTAGCCACTTAGGTGTTTTGGTCTAAGTCAGATTCGGTTTAGATAAGTGCATAGTCTGAATTATAATTTAACAATGGGGTAATTGGGCAAAGAAAGATGATTCGAGTTATCCAAATGGTCTTGAATTTAGAGGTGTCAAAATTTAACCCAACCGACCTGCTTGAAACCAACCTGAAAAATATCCGATTTAGATTTCGACTCGCATGGACATAATAATTTAGCATGACTCAAGTTTGAAATTAGACCCAACCTGATCCTGCCCCACCTAACCCGGACCCTAACCCGGACACCTGAATTGACATCTCTACTTAAAGTACAAGGATAAATTTTGTCTCTCAAAGGGACATGATTGGGAACTCTATTTTTTTTTTTTTTGTGGATGCTAAATAAGGCATAAGAGAAATTGTCTTCTAGAGAAGGGATTCTAGAGTCTCATTATTAATATCCAATCCTCGTATGTAAAAAGAATCTTCAATACATCGGAGTAGCTCTTGTATATTTATTTAGACTTTAGTTGAGGTAGGAAGTTTGGAATCCAAAATTTATAAAATATGTACTTTTCACTATCTAACTCTTTGATGAGACAATGTTCTTACCTCTATATGATCATATTGCATTATCTCCGGTTTACTTTTCTAATGATTTGACAAAATATATATGCTTTTCAGCCTTGGGAAGAAAGGATGAAAGATGCCCATGATCAGGGAAGACTTGTTCTACTTCAAAACTTGGACCCAACCTTCACCTCCTCCGATGTCGAGGTAGAGTATTTTGACAAGAAGTTGATTTTGTTGTGTCTATTATATTCTTTGCACTTCAAAGGATTGAAGATCTTCTTTGTTACATTATTAAACGACCTTCTTTACAACTTGTATCATAAAGATGCAAACTAATCAATTTTATCCCATCTTTGTTTTCAAAAAGTGGAGGCGCACAAGTGTATCCAATCAACCCTTTTTTTTTTTTTTTTTTTTTTTTTTTTTGTAGTATTACATACTCCCTTAGTATTAGCATTTACAATTTTGTTATCTTTTTATTTTTTAAAAATTGTTTCAATTTTGTTTTTACACTTGGATTATTGCTATAATTCATCTTTCTTTCAGCTAGGGGTGGCAATAGGTCGAATTCGATCCTGATTCATTTTATAGATGTAGATCCAGATTGAGATGCGCATGTAATTGTTTTTCGATTTTTTTTTTTTAAAAAAAATTATTTTAGATATTTTTGTTTATAAAAATCAAACTTAAAATTTATATTTATGTTAATTTAGTTTATTTATATGCTCAAACCATCATTATTCCAAAATAACAAAAACAAAAGTTTTAAAATTAGGAATAAAATATTTCAAAAGAATCAAAGTAGCTAAATATGACCACAACAAGAAACACTTAAATTATTTTTAGTTTTTATTAGAAAGTCAAATTAAATAATATATCAATCTTAAGAAAATATCTTAATAAAATATAAAAAAAAATCTAAGGGTCTGATTTGTATCGAATCTAGATCTCAAAAAAGGATCCAAATCCAGTTCATTAGAAACGGATGCCTAGATCCAAAATTTGAGATCTAGGTGCTATTAAAACATTGGGGTCTCACTCTCTTTCACATCCTTTTTTTTTTTTTTTTGATTAAATAAATATTAATTGATTCCAGGCTGGAGAGGGTAATAGTTATATATTAATGCATTAATTGATAATAAGAATCTAAATTTTTTACTAAAATATCACTAGAAGACAAGAATATGAAGACATTTGTATACTTGGAACTTCATATTGCACCAAAATTTTGGCATATTTTCACGAAATAGCCGGACACTTGAACACGTACCCATGTTAGATTGTTAGGTATCCATGTCCGAGTAAAATAGATTTTCTTAACTTATTAGGTTGCTTACTAAATCACTAGTATGTTGTATCACCATTGTCATACACATCATCTTCATCTCCACTAAGTTCTTTTCTATCTCGCCATCATACATTGAAATGTTTTGGTGATTAATTATTGATCATTTTAACACCTTTTCCTTTATGAACAATTTGTTTTGTTTTTTTTTTGGATAATACATTAAGCTACCTTATATAGATTGCTAGAGGGGGAGATTACGAAAATTGTGTGCAATTTTGCTTGCACTTGCGTTCATTTAATGGAAAGGAAAGGAGATTAATTTGTAGGAAGTAGCTGGAATTTCTTATACATGTATCTCTAGAATATTGTCTTTTAATCTTTATTTATCTCTGAACTGTATTGTATGCAGAATATAGTTTGGCATGGTTTTGGTGAAAGTTGCAATGCAAAGGTGGTTCAACATAATGCAACATCTAGTCGACGTTTTGGTGTGTCAATACTACTAGTATCTAAAATTATTTTTCATGGTGAAGAATGTTACCTTGCGATGAAGCCTTTTTCAACTCAATTTATAGTTATTTTTTTTAATTTACTATATTGCAGGACAAGCATTTGTCATCTTCAAAACACGGGATTTAGCAGAGAAGATCATAAAAAGGTTGGACAAAGAGTGCTTAATGCTCCAAAATGGAAGGTGTGTTTCAATTGATACATTTTATGTGTTTACTTATAGTCTAGGATACCCGAACACGCCACCCAACAGGCATGTTGGTGTGTAAGACACGTGACTCTTGACAATACATCTTGGACACGCCGAATAATCATGTCTGTTTTATTAGTTTTTTCGGACACTTGAACACGAGTTGTGTCCTCTATGACATGACTTGTTAAAGTGAAGTAGGAGAGGGAATGTATTTTTTTATGGCTGATTTTTTTGAAATAAAAAATGGATGTGAATGAATGCAATGAGATGTTGAATTTGAAGAGTGAGGAGTGGAGGAGGAGATGAAGCCAAAGGAAACAAAAGCGAAGCATTGTTTTGTACTTTTGTATATGAATCAAAAGATTAAGAAAACAACGTGTGATTGCTGATTTTGATGTACTTAATTAGTTAATGTGAAGTGGGAGTGTGGGATTATAGAGTGAGTAAAAGGAAAGAGAAAAACTGTGTAAGTTACTTTCCGTTAATTCAGTTTGGAAAAATTAAATATAGTTGGGTTTATGATTGAAAATAAATCCTTTATTTTGTTTGTGCGACAATGTTTATCATAATATTTGTTTTGCCTTTATAAAGATAACATTAATACTTCCTCCGTTTTTTTATTATTGCACCATACCAGTTGGGCACAATAATTTTGGTGGTGGGAAAAAGGAAGAGAGAGAAAGGTAAAAATACAAAAGTGTCCATGTGATGTAAACATAGGCTAAATAATAATTGTGAAAAAGCAAGGGTATTTTGGGTATATGTAGTGTGAACATAGATTTTTTTTTGTCCTAAAATAGAAATGGTGCAATATTTGTGAAACTTCCTTAAAAGGCAAGTGGTGCAATATTAAAAGATCAAAGGAAGTATGAGATTTTGTTACTAGGTTTTTTTAGTGATTTATAAATTTTTAATATAATTTTAAAAAATAAAAAAAGTTATGAGCTGTAACATGTTGCATTTGATTTATATTATTGTGCATCAGTTGGATTTTGGACAAAATTACTTTTAGCAGCAATTTACAGGAACTTTGAATAGCTGAAGCGTTAGATATACTTTCTAGCTGCTTGTAAATCTCAAATGTGCTTTTAACTATTATTCCCTTATGGTTATAGGCTTATAGCATATATTATAACTCTTGATTTGATGCCTTTGATAGCCAGATCATAACTTGTTGATTTTTTTTTTCCAGGCCTCTTGTTGGCAGTAGATATGGTTTATGCTTTCCTGGAAAGCCTTCTCAGTTTCCTGGTCACCTGATCGTTGATAAACTTAGACACCAAATGCAGCGGGAAACGGTAATGTGGATTTTGCATTTGCATCAATTTTTACTTGACCTTCCGTATCCCCATTTCTCACTACTCTCCTTGGTTATGAAATTTCAGTCGCTCTGGCTCTTTTCAATTATTAACATATTTTATTTCTGAATCCTTTGTCAGAGAGATGCCGTGTCTACTTCACATTCTGCTCAGCCAAATACTCTTGAATACGAAATGGCACTTGAGTGGCGCTTACTTCAGGAAAGATCAGAATTGTCATGGAAGATGTTGTACAAGGTATACAGAACTCTATGGACTATGCCTTATTTTATTTCTTCAGCTGATCATATATTTAATATACTTGTTTAACTCTGTCGTAGAAACAAGAAGAACAGATTAAAAAAATAATGGCCAATGAGAAGTCAAAATGAGGTAGTTGGTCTTTTGCAGCTCTAGCTTTCGACAACTTGTGTAGAATTTAACTCTCTCCAAACTTGCTGTGAAGTCGAGTAACATCTTACTTTCTTGTAAGTGCTACTTCCTTGTTGCACATCGGTCTTTGTTTTCTTTGGCTCGCACGAATTTTCTCATATAGTACTCTGTATTTCATTAATTAACTGAGATTTCTTTCATGTTTCATAAAAAAAAAACAAATTGCAGTTGGACTTGGTCTATGTTAAACATGTCATCATGGACCAGATTTGACCTTCCGGTAGGGATGGTTGCTGTTGAAATTTTGGATGATTTTAGCTCAGCAGCATCTAGAGACTTCTGTGGTGGTGGTTAGTAGCATTGTGTCTCGTATGTACACAATTTTTCTCACCACCTTTGCTATCCTCTTAAGTCACAAACAAAAGTGTACATATCTGTAAATCTACAAAACTCTCGGTCTCCCTTTTGCTCTGGTAATGACAATCATTAGTGTTTGTTGACATTGCTTATAGCGTTGTGCAGTCTTTTCGTTTCAATGTTTTATACGAGTATTATCTTCGCTGCCGTCATTAATTGCTATATTGGCGAATTAGGTTTGCCTGCAATGTTTCACTATCTACCTATTTGTTTTAACAAAATTATGTTTTTAAATTCAATTCAATTCACATCAGCTTCATTCAGTTCAAAGGAAACAGGGTTTTTGTGGTAGTTGGGGTCACTCTAATTTTGAATATTGCTTTTGGAATTTCACAAGGTTTGAGATAGCTAATCGAATAAAACTTACAACACAGTTTAAAGCAAGTGAGAAAGTATTATTTGGTATTTTCATTAATTGATGTGTGACCAGCTCACCACCTTACATGCCAAGTATGAAAAATATCATACTACCTAGTGCATAAACGGTATTGTTCCATGATCATGTTAATGGGATGCAATGTTGTTGGATATTGAGTTTAATTGATAGTTAATTTAGTGTTGATAGTAGTTTTCATACTGTTCATTGTTATAGGGAGGGTAATAACGTAACCAATAAGTTAGTTAATATGCGAGTCGTCCAAGAGGAGAAGGTGTCTTATTGTGATGATCTTTTGACTGAAATAAGGAATCTTCTTCGGGAGGATGTTATTAAGGTGGCTTTGCTACGTGTAGTAGTTTAGTCTTTGTTTTTGTAATGGGCTTGGCCCTCTTATGCAATATGCACCAAACCAAAAAAAAAAATTTAGTGTTTTAATCCGGAAAGTCACTTTTTCTTATCCTTTTTGTTCTTCGATCTTTGTTCTGATTTTAATTTTTTTTTTTTCAGGAAAAAAATTTCCAAATGGAAAGATTTAAGAGAATTGGAGGGGGAAAGTAGTTCTTCCTCTTGACTTCTGAGAATTCAAAACTAATCTTCAATTCTTTTGTTACATTAGACTAAAATACGGAAGTAGTATATTTTGAACTTATTGTTTACCTTGCAATGCCCCCACAAATAATTTTTTTTTTTTTTTTTTTTTTTTTTTTGACATATGCTTAATAGATGGAATAAAAGTATTACACACTACAAATTAAGTTAACTAAACTACTCAAAGAAGTTTTACTAGCTTCAATGTTACAAAGATTACACCTAAAATTACAAAGCAAATTCCTTACAAGAAACAATCAGTTTGAAATCCGTGGATATGCCTTTGAACATGCTTCATGAGGTACTAGATATTACCCTTTGTTTGCTTTGTACTACGTATCCTATCTTCCATTGAGCCTGGAAAATGAATAAAAGTGCATATAGTACATAGTTACTAGCATATAATAATTCGAGCTCAAAAAGACACCAAGAATCTATAACGTTGGGTAAAAGGGTAGGTGAAAAAGAAGACCAAGACTTAATAATACAAACTGAGTTACTTTTACATGTGACTCGATTCCTTTAACTATGGATACCTTAGACCCTAGGAAGAGACCATTAACAAACTACTCCCTTCATGTTTTTTAAAATGTTACACTTATCAAATGGGGTCGTATTTTTTTAAGTGTTACACTTTCTTTTTTAGCAAAGAATTACTTTTTAATATTATATTTCCATTCTCTCATAATCCCTATCCAAACTTACTACGAGTAGTTTACAATAAACTATTAACCATACTATATTTCTTTTACAATTCATTTACCTCTTATTTTATTTAAGTCCATTTAATTGCCTAAAATTATGTGCTGGTCAAAGTGTGATATATAAAAAACACGGAGTAAACACCTCCTAAAAAAAAAAAAATCTTTTTGGGTGTCCCCATGCGGGAGAGCAATGTTATTATAAGGAATTTTCTAATCCATGAATTGAAAATCCATCGATGGCTAAGTTGAAACGAAGGTTACCAATGAATAACCTTTTATTAATTCGTTGATCGGACAAGTCTAAAGAAGCAATAACTCCCAAATAACAAGCCAAAACCAACTCTTAAGAACAAAAACAAATCGCAAAAATGGTCAAATTCCAAAATTACCCGAACCCAAATCCGAAGACCAAAATACTGAAAAAGGAGCATACCACATCATGCTACACCACAACTTTCTCTTTTTTCTCATCATCTAGACTTAGTATTTAAAAACACTAACCAAAGTTGCCATGTGTCCTCCTTCTCTTTCACCTTTCTTTATAATCATTCTCTTTCCTTAACCCCTTTCCTTATGTTTTCAAAGAAATTCTCTTCATCTCCCCCTTTATTTCTCAATAATTCTTTATATTTTGTAATCTCATTTTTAATGTAACAAATTGAATTTCCTAAACCTTCTCATTTTCTCCCTCCATCTTTCAATTCCATTTATTCACATTCATCATTCAATTCTTTGACCCCTTATTATCTTCCCTAATCTCTCCTAATATAATACAATTTTTCAATAAATCTTTTTTCACATCACTTAAGTTCCAAAAAAAAAAAAAAAAAAAAAAAAATTATTAGAGAAATATCTCTTATAATTCTATGTAAAATTTCTATAACAATGAAGATGATGATTGAAAAGGAAATTATTGAGGCGACAAAGAAGAAAGACTTGAATTTGACAAGAAAAATAAAGAGTTTCGTGCAAGAATACTATGGAAATCCCGTAGGATGACATTGCTTGCATGTCACACGGCCTTTATTTTCAAGATATTAAGCGTATTATAAGAGAAATATATTAGTAAAGAGGCATTTCAAAACTTTATATTTGATGTAAAAATGTAAAATTATAATAAGTGTTTGGTATTTAGTTTTTTCTTATACAAATTGTTGATTAACTAATATCCAAAATTTGTTCATTAAGCCTAATCTAATTTAATTCAACAAGTAAAAGTAGTGTGACTGGATATGCTAAGAGTTTAATAAGTTGTACATGCTTTATAACTTGAATGAAAAAAGAAGAGATGAAAATTGGTAGGTTTGTGAGAGGACTTAAAACATCTATTGCATAAAAGCTGAAACTTCTAGCTTTCTCTTCTTTGTTCATGTTTTGAGGTTAAATTAGCTAAGAGGTTCGAAAGGCAAGAAAAAGAGATGGTTCTTTCTACTTAATCTAGGGACAGTCCAAAGGGATCTTTTAAGAAGTAAAAGGGGTAATTCATCCTTCATTTGAATGCTAGTTGAAGTTATTCTTCAAATTTTGGACAATAGTAAATGCCCGGCCTAAGCTAGAATAATGATTTGTCCTGAACAAGCTGCACTTGCAAAGAAACGATGCTATCAATGTTAAGGGTTTGGTGATATTTCTAAAGACTCCAAAAGGTGAAGATCATTCCAAAGGATCAGAAAATTCTTTTTGCTTGGCTTCAACAAGAGAAAGAAGATGAAGAGCAAAGAGCTTTAATAACACATCATATAAAGGAAGAAGATAATATAAAGGGATAGTCGGATTATGAGAATGAAGATAGGTAGGATGATCAAGTGTGCTAATAAATGATGCCAGATAAAGAAACTTTGATTTTTAGAAGAATTCTTAGGGTTGAGTCTACACCATTGATCACGGAGGTGGAACAAATAGAGAGCCTATTCTACATCTCTACACTAGAATACTTGCGAGTGGTAGAGCTTACAATTTGATGATTAATAGTGGTTCATGCGCCAATGTTGTTTCCTCAAAACGATAACATTCTTAGTGATGTGCAACAAGTGATTCAGAGGTGTACTACATGTCAAAAGGCTAAGAGTTCGATCTTTTCACAATGGTTTATACACTCTACTTCCAGTTTCTACTACTCTATGGGATAGTGTTGTAATCCCCCGTATTTTTAAATGTATTGTAAATGAAATTTAATAATTTTATTTATATGAATTTGTATTTTTCAAGAATTTATTTAAAAAAAGTTCTAAATTATAATTTGGATTGACAAATGATTTAATTACAAATGATTTTGTGTACTTAGGGGCCGTTTGGTTCGCATAGGGTAAACAAAATGGAATGAACGAAGGGAATGAAAGAGAATGGAATGAAAAACCATTCCATTCCATGTATTGTTTGTTTTAAAAAAACCAAAGGGAATCAGCACCACCACCAACACCACCACACAATCCCTTTTTCCTTCACTTTCCCACTTCTCCTGCCACCCCACCGCCCAGCCATCACCTTGTCGGAATCCCCCGGAGCCCGTCATACCCCCCTCCCCCCCGAAAATATTTCCCCCTCCCTGGAAAACCTTCCCCTAATCCCTTTCACCTTTCCTTCTCCTCTAAACCAGCCATTGCCGTTAATTCCAAGCTCATAAACCCTAATTATTCATCATCAATACCCTTCAAACCCCAGAAAACCCCAATTAAGAAATCCAACGAATTCTCGTTTTTCTTCTATTCGAACTTCGCTCAATCGAAACAGGGGCAGCGATGGTCGAGGAGGGGTCGGGGAAGGTGTTGAAGCTTAAGAGTTTTGATGATGATGGATAAAAGCAAACTTCATCTAATACTAAGTTTCGTTAAGTGTTGTGACTAGAACAAGTGAAGTTGACTTTGGAAGTGGAAGAGTAACCTGCCTATGAAGACTCAAGGAGAACTTAAGGAAAGTTAAAGAAAGTAGAAGAGGAGTTCCTTAATGGAACTAACTGAGTTCACTAACAGGAACACCAAGAGAAGTTCCCTAACAGGAGCTTGACAACAAATTGAGAAGATTAACTTGGTCTGCGTAGAAGACAACAAGTTCCATAAGAACTTGGCCTGCGAAGTTCCAGCAAGGAGCTGGAGAGTGAAGGACAGCAGGATCTTGATCCTGGTCTGCGTGAAGCCCAAGTATCCTTAACCTACAGCAATTGACGAGACAATCCACCTAGAATATATAAGTTTATGTTAAGTTTATTTTTCTAAGGATAGTTGTAAATATGTTAGGAAAGTTTTTATGCATGGAATTTATTAGAGGCGTGACAAAGCTTGACATGCTATAAAAATAGTAGTTTACAAAAGATAAGTTTTTAATTTATAAACAGATTTTATTTTTTAAAATCCGGTTTTACATAATATTATTCTTTTCATAAATTATATCTTTGATAAGTTTTCTAAAAAGATTTTCTTCACAAAAGATTTACATAAAACGTGTTTTTATGAAAATGGTAGTTTTATAATTTCCATCTTTTTGAAAACCCTACTTTGATATGAGTACTTCTTGTATATAAAGTAGAATTCATAATTTGCACAACTTTGTGAGTTTATGCGTGAAGAATCTGAAGAGAGCTCTAAAGTGTAAGTTTGCCAAGTCTAAACTTTGTCATATTAGTTTTGGATTCCATGTGTAGCTTTCCTATCACATATTAGAGTCAAAGAGTTTGTATTGTTTTGGTTTGGGTGAGTGTTTAGCTTATTGCATACAGATTGTAAGCTTCAAGGTTGAAGCTGAGAGTGTGAGCATTCAGGGAGTGCTGAGTGAATCTAAGTCCGGGACTTAGGTTGGGTAGGATAGGGTCCTATCGAGTAGCAGGTTCAGTTAGGAACTTGTGAGTAAAGGTCTAATTATAATAGGTTGTAACTAGGAGAGTTTGCCCTATTATAGTGGATTGGTTTGCCGTTTGAAATCCCTTGGAGGGTAGAGGTTTCACTTCCAATTGGAACCTGGAAGGTTTCCTCGTAAAATCTTGTGTGCTTTGCTAAGTTCCTTTTATATTCTGTTTTAATTCCGCAAAAGTAGTCAATAGGAACTCACATACAATTCACCCTCCTCTTGTAGTGTTCGTCTCAACTAACAATTGGTATCAGAGCACGGTTCTCTCATTTAAGAAAATAACTTTGCCCAGTAAGTTCCTAAGGAGAGAAGAATTATAAAGAGAAGCTTGAAGAAGGGTACTCTACCCAACGTCCACCTATGTTCAATGGTAAGTTCTATACCTAGTGGAAGAACGGGATGAAGATATTTATTAAGGCTGAAAATTACCAGGTTTGGCGCGGTATTGAGTATGGTGATTTTGAGGTAACCAAAACTAATGAGAAAAACGAGGTAGTTCCTAAACCTTTATCTGATTTTGAAAAAGAGGATTTTCAAAAATATGAATTGAATGCTTTAGTTATTAAATTGTTGCACTGTGGACTTGGACCCCATGAGCACGACAGAATCATGGGATGCAAGTCTGCTAAGCAAATATGGGATCTAATTGAAGTTACTCATGAAGGTACAAACGAGGTAAAACATTTTAAAATTGACTTATTGATGTCTAAATATGAAAGATTTGAAATGCTACCTAAGGAAACCATAGAAGAAATGTTTACTAGATATAATGATATAATTAATGAGCTGGGTTCCCTTGGCAGGCATATTCCTATAGATGAACAGGCTCGAAAAGTGTTAAGGAGTCT